ACATAAAATTAAAATATTTTTTATTAAAATAATTTATTATTTTTTAACAATAACAATATTTAAAAATGAAAAACAAAAGTTTATTTATTATTTTCGGAGATTTAATTCAATAATAATACTATCAGGTGAATTAATTTGATACCTTTCCATTAATTTAATTTAAAAGTAATTATTTTCATTTATCATTTATAAAACTATAAATATAATTGATATAAAAATAATTATGTTTAATTTCCTGAGATTACAATAAAAAACATTCAATTTGTATAAAAAATAAACAATTGAATAAATGAATTAATATGAATATATTTTTGCAACTGGTTAAATGTTTAAAAACTTGTTATAATCAGGTACATATATTTTTTAAACACTAATTCTCTGAATTTTTATTATTATCAGATAAAATCATATAAAATACCATCATTATAGTATGAAATGAAAATATCATTATTATTTAAATAAAAACACGATCAGTTACAACAACGATATTATAATTGGACAGAGTTATGTAAATATTATCAAAAAAGTACATAAATGTTAGTTAAATAAAAGTATTAAATAATACTACTTTATAAATTGATGATACAATTTAAGTTAACATTTTTATATAATTGATTGTTTAAACAATCTGCTAAGTATTTTAAATATAAAAAATGATATCTTTAATCAATACGCATAAACGTTTAAAAACAAAAACACAATATCGTTTTTTATAAACTTTAATAGTGTGTTTACACCAAATTTTCAAGATAATTTTTATCAACACATTTTTTCAAAACAAAAAAATGTTTAACAATTTTTGATGTAATAAAAGCACCTTTTTAACCTTAAATAATCAATGTTCGCTCTCTTTCTCGTTGCAATGGCTTCCGCCAAATACTTAATTAGTCAAACGAATGGGTATAGTATGGTCTTTAAATTGGGTCAGTGTTATTACCAATCGAACGGAGTCTATGTAAAATTAGAAGACGATGGAGATGATATAAAATTATTTCTCTCTTCTAAATGTGGTGATTGGAAATTAGAAAAGACTCAATTACTGACTTCAAGTGATACTTTTCGAAATGATTTACCAGAGTTTTATTATGCAGTTTATAGTTATTCAGATCGGAGTGATTGTACTATTGTAGAGAGTGACGCTCATCCTGGTGAATTGATATTCAAGCAATGTATTAAAAGTTCCGAGTCGTCTTCTCAAA